GGGACCGTGAGGGGCCGTGAGGGCGGGACCTGCTCGGAGGGGTCTGGGGAAGGTGCGGAACGAGCGGAACGCCGTAGGCAGACAGTCCTGGCAAAGGGGAAAGGCCGCGGGGCCGAGGCGTCCCCCAGCTGGAGGTCTCCAGGCTGCAGAGTTAAGGGACAGCGCAGGATCCTGAGGGACAGGAGCTGCTGCTCCTCAGAGCTGGGGTGCTGCGGCAGCGCTGGAGACACGGCTGAGGAGCGGCCTAAAAAGCCCCAAAGGGGCTCCAAGAACCATGGAGAGAGACTTTGGACAAGGGCCTGGAGTGACAGGACACAGGGTATGGCTTCACACTGCCACAGGGTGGGTTTTGATTACACAAATAAATCGTTCCCTGTGAGGGAATTGAGGTCCTGGCACAGGGTGCCCAGAGCAGCTGTGGCTGCCCCATCCCTGGAGTGTCCAAGGCCAGCTCGGAGCGGCCTGGGACAGTGGGAGGTGTCCCTGCCCGTGATGTTTAAGTTCCAGCCCAGCCCAGTGTGTGATTTATGCTTGCAGGTGTCCAGCACTGCCCAGCTGCCTCAGGGTGACACACGGGGCCCTGGTTCAGGTTTCCAGACAGTGGCACCGGGTCAGGAGGGGGTGAGCTGCTCTGGGAATGCACCTGACTCCTGTGACAGCACCATCATCCACATACCAGAAGAATGAAACAGTGACTGAAAACATCCTCCAAGTGCCTGTGAGCAGTTTGCACAATCACAGCTTTATTTTGCAAGAAAAAGTTGGAACTCAGGTTTGATCTTACCAAAGGAGCCTCTGTGAACATACCAGGTGTAAATTTCCTTGTCTTATATTTGATTATTCATTTCAGAGAAGTCAAATTATAAAAGAGGTGGGCAAAGCATACCCAGGAGTAAAATACTGCCAGTTTCTGTCTTCAGGGCACTTTCTGTCCAGTGCAGTAAATCCTCACCATCATCCAGGAGATTCCCCAGGAAAATTGTAGGGTTGGGTTCATTTATTAAGAGTAAAAAAGAAAAACCAAAAGGTGGAGAAGCCCAAGTTTATAATGGCTTGATGAAACTTCAATGAGGCTCACATTTCTGAGTGCAGCAGAACTCTATGGAAACTTAAATTTTGCTTCTGTGTAGAGCAAAAACCCTGGGAAATTCACTATAAATCTTTTTCCTTTTGCATATTTCCCTTATTAGGAGTAACACAGTCATCTAACCGAGGTGTTAGAGTCACTCTTTGGAAGGTTCAATGCAGGCTAATTGAAAACAGGTAATTATTGTTGTTGCTAAGGTTGTTGCCAGGCAGTTGCCCCACACAGTTGTGGCCTCTGCAGCCTTTCCTGCCCATCTGGGGCAGAATTTCAACATCACAGCAAAACTTTATGAAGTGAAGTTTCACAGAAATAAATCCTTGCAGGATCCAATTTGGACAGGCTGCTTCTTTCATCTCCTGAGGCAGCGCTGTGTTCCCAGCATGGATGAAAGGGAATATTTTCAGGAATAAAATCCCCTGGGATTTCTGTCACCATGGTAACACATATAGATAGCAGGCCTGCTTCCAAGCCAGGTTTTATTGTTCCAGCAGTAAAGAACTGGCTCCTACAAATAACCAGCCTGGAATAAAGTACTGCCCTTCTGCTTTCCCATCAAAATAAAATTTTAAAATTTAATATATTGCTACAGTTAAACATTCAGGATAAAGTGCCAAGATCAGCTCTGCCATAAATCTAACTAGGATGTCTTGTTTCCTAAGCCACAGTGAGAAAGGGGAGAGTATTCACATATTTAATTAATACCAGATAAATATGAATATTTTTGTAATAATAAATTCATATTTCACTGCTGAATAAATACCAGAACTTAAGCGTGAAATAAAAATTAAAAAATAAAAAGCATCCCCATCAAATTTTCATGTGTTTTATTGAGGTGAACATACACATGGTCCACATAGTCAATGAAAATAGTCATAAAATAATTTAAGAACTTGTGTGGAGAGGTATTAGCAGCACCATTGGTATTGGAATAGCAGAAAACACATCTCAGGAGGGCAGTGATGCCTGGAGAAAATGCCATCATTTGGAACAGGGATGGGAATGGCTCGGTGGGATGCTCTGGGGAGGTGGAGTTTTTAAAACACACTTTTGCTAAATACTTTTGACGATTATTGTTACAAAAAATACAACTAAATAAGATACTGCATAGTATTTTAATTAACATAAAATCGACATTGAGGTGTGTAAAGCAAGACTCAAATCTCTGCTTCCACATACATTTCATTTCTGAGTAGAGAAATCTAAAATTTAAAACCAAAATATAGACCTAGTGTATTCTCTAAAAGACACACTTTAGGTGGAACATATCAGACTACGAAAATACATATCTTCCATTCTGTTTAATAATTTACTTTAGTTAAAAAGTTGTGAAATTCTCCTCACAAGAAGCGTATACAAATTGATGACTTTAGTAAATTAACAAAAAGGATTATTTTACTTTTTGTTTTGTTTTTGTGGTTTTTTTTTTAAAACAAGGCTTAGCCCCGCAGTAACAATTATACAAGGAAGAAAAGAGACTACATTTATATGAAGGAATACAAATTTACACACATTTTACAGTGACTTATACCCTACACATCTACAAAATTCACAGTTATAATACAAGCAAGTACAAGGCTGGGATAGAGCTGTCGGATACCAAAAAAAGTTCCTACTTTAAAAAAGAACCAAACCAATCGAGGAGGGGGGGGAAGCGCTTGCACGGGGCGCAGGCGCGGCAGGGGAGGCTCAGCAGACGCACAGCGCTTTGCGGGGCGGGTGGAACAGGGAGCTGCTGAGCTTCTTCTGCCCGCGGAGGCTGCGCCGCATGGACAGCCGGGCGGGGCTCCCGCGGGCCGGGGACGCTGCCGTGCCCTCCCCCGGGCCCCGCGCTGGGCCCCGCCGCGGCTTCTTCAGCGCCGGGCCCGAGTTGGATTCCTCCAGAGTCCGCTTAAAGCTGCCCGGGGGCGGCCTCTCCGCCTCCTGCGCCTTGCCGTGCCCGCCAGGGGACACCTTGAAGCCTTTTTGGTCCGAGTTGGAAGGGGAGAGGCTGACAGATAAACCATTGCTGTAGGATTCCTGGAGCCTCAGCGCCAGGGCTTTGCTGCACTTCTCCTCCTGCGGGGCTGAATCCTTGGGGGTTCCTCCTGAGGAAGGGAAACTGCTTTTGGCAATCTCGTTTGGCAGCTCCAGGTATTTCTCTGAGAGCATGTTGCTGTGCAGGAGGGGAGGAATGGGCTCAGCAGAGTTCAGCCGTGGCCAGGGGTCATCTTCTGTGAGCTGAGGGAAAAGGAAACAAAATACTTAGGAATAAATATAACAATAGAATCACAAAATTATTTGGGAAGGATCTGCAGGATCACTTATTCCAAACTCTGCCATGGGCACAGACGCCTCCCACCATCCCAGCTTGCTCCCTGTCCCACCTGGCCTTGGACACTGCCAGGGGCTGACTTTGTCCCATGAGGGTGCACGCAGTGTGTGGCACTTTCAGAATTCCCCCAAACCTTATCAAAAGCAGGAAAATCCTGCTCCACAGCAGGCTCAGCTTCTCTCCCTGCTGAGAGGGGGAAACAATTCCAGCTGGGGCTGGGAAGTGCAGCTGCACAACACAGAGGGATCTGCAGGCAGCTGCTGGGAACTCAGGGGAAAGCAGAGCCTGAAACCTCTGAGATCCTCAGCAGCATCTGCACACCCAGCCAGGATTTCCAGCAGAGCCTGGCAGAGGCACTGCCCTCTGACCTGTGTGTGGTCAGTGGCCAAAGGGCAGCAAGAGCCTCCTGACCTTGGTCATGTCCAGCACTCTCAGTGACTGCACAACCAGGCCAGCAGGGCTGGCCAAGCTCCTGCTCAGCTGCCAACAGAGGGGCAGGGGCAGACACAAAAATATCCCTGATTGCTGTGCAAAGTGACACTTTCATTGCCCATGGATCCCTCACAGCACATCCCCTGGGAAGCACAGGCACCGAGGTGCCAGGAACCCTGACCCTCATCTCTTCTGGGCTTTTTTCTCATTCTCAGTTCTACCAACAGGAAAATGGGGACAAGACTTGCTCTCACTATCCACAGGGGGATTATGGGAATTAGTGTTTATGCAGCACCCTGAAGATAGGAATTCTGACCTTATTAAAGATTTAATTGTAATTGTCCCTGGTTACTCGGTGAGCCCTTCAGAAGTGAATTTCAAGGCCACACTCCACTCCCCCAGTGGAAGGCAAATAGCAGTTATTATTTTAAGAAAATCATGTGCTGCAGACTGAAATGCACCCAGCTGAATCAGTCAGGGAAACATCTCAGGTGAAAAAACAGATGCTTCTGAACCCACAACCCAGACCAACTCCAGGTTTAATAAAATGCACTCCAAAAGAAAAGATAATCAGGATTGTTCCCAGCACCCACACTGGTTTTCCACTCCTCTGTGGCTGCCCATGTGTGGACAAAACCATTTAGATACCATTCCTTTACCACATTTAGCAACAAGAGGGAAGACCCTTATGAATGGAATTCTAAAGGTTATTCTCCATCTCAGCTGCTGCAGAACCCAGGAGGAACCAGATCACAGAGAGCAGCTCTGGCAATGCTCCTTCAGCTGCTCCATTTAATTCCTGACATTGTGTCACATAAAACTTCATTTTATGGTTTTTATTGTGCAAGACCTTTCATGTTGTGGCTCTTTTCCCCAGCATCTCCTGCTGGTGCAAACAGCTGAGACTGCAGCAGCTCTGGGGAGCCGAGGAGAGGCACAGGATGGAGTGCTGGGGAGTGATGGAACAACACAGGAAAAACAAACCACCAATCACCAACTGAATTTCTCAACAGTCCAATCAATCTTCCTCACTGGCCTCAGGAACACTGAAATTCATTTGGTATTAGGAATTGCTGCCAGAAGGACAAGCAATTAAGAAATATTTTTAATTAAGAAACTTTGGTTTCCATCTATTTCTGAATTAATTGTTTTGGCAGGTAGCAGCTGTCAGGCATCAAGGCCACCCCTGCTTCTCTCACAGAAACTGTGATTGAAAATTTTAGGAGCACTTACAATTTAATTTTTTTTCCTCAAGATTTTGCTAGGTTTAAAACCCTTTCCATGGATTTTGCTCCACTAGATGAAAGGGGAGGAGACAAAGTTGAAGCTTGCCATTTTATTAGCAGCTTGTTTCTCCCAAGGGAATGTTTAAAACTCCCTTTCTAATTTCTGCTTTCTTTTCCTTTGCCCAAAGGACAATTATCTGAAGATTCTGCAGAACATCAAAGGACAGTGACTTAAATCAGGAGCAGCTGGTAATTACTGAAACAAACAGCCACTCATAACTACACTCCAGTTCTTAGAGGGGGGGAAGAAAAGCCACAAAACAACAAAACAAAAACCCTCTGAAGAGCTCTGCTTTATGTTAACAGCTCAAACTTGCAGCCTCCAGAAAGACCTTATGTTATGATGTCACTGCTTCAACAAAGAACATCAAATCAACCAAAGGAAGATAATGAGATCTCCCAGTACAGAAAGAAAATGTTCTTTACAGCAACATGTGTTGGAACCAATTTACCTTAAAAAAAAAATAAATAAAAGTCCAACACCAGCACAACCAAACCAACCCAAATGAAAGAACACCCTGTCAGGAACAGGTTCACAATCTGCAGTCCCTGGGCTGGGCAAGCTACACAAGCACCTGGCAAGGCAGGAAGGGAAACTGCAGCCCAGCCTTGTTTTCTAAGGGGGTGTGTTGGATGGGTTTTTAATACCTCTGAGCCCCACTCTGCTTCCTGTCTCAAAAGGCTGCCTTGAATCTTGGGGAGGACCTCAGGAAACTTTAAGAAACAATGCATTTCAAGGTTTGTAAAGCAACTGTACTAATTTCTTCCACATTAGGGAGGAAGCACAGATCAACAGCCACCAATAAACAACCAGCAGCAATTCTGGCATTCATACATTGGAACACCAAAGGCAGAGTGCTAAAGTTCTTTAATAAACATGGTTAAAAGTTGGTCCAGCCCTCAAACCTTTGCAGGTGGAAGTATTGAAGATATAACTGTAGCTTTCACAGTATCCAGAGCTGGAAGAGACCCACAAAGGCAACACCATGTTTTAACAGACTGAGCCAATCTCAGTGATAGATTCTCTACACATA